GCTCTTCTTCATCTGACAGACTGCTCATTCTTCTGGCCAAACTGTATACCACCCCTACAATAGTGTTCACATTTCTATTTACTTTAAATTCAAGGAACTTACAAATGAGGACTCTTATGAAAGCGCAATCACTCTGTATTTATTTTTCTTTCTGTTATATGGATGAAAACCAAAGTGATTAATAACATTAACCCCCTAACATAAAGCAGTGTTACATTTGTCCAGAGTGTGTTGTTGAATTGTGTGAAATGGTTTCCCAAAATATGTGTCACAATAAGATTTGTCACCAAAAATGATTCAATTTGCTGAAACCCAGAGAAAATTGTGGCCAAATTAAGACTCGAAATCACCCCAGTGTGAAGGAAAACACCCCGAACAGCACACGAAGGGTTAATGTTAGTTAGAGTCATTCTTTGTTAGTGTTAGCTCACGGTGCAGTAACTGATGTTAGCAAGCATGAGTTTGGATTTTAATAATGCATTAGTAAATGTTGAGCTATGATTAATACATGATGTACAAGTATTGTTCATTATTAGTTAATGTTAGACATTACATTGTATTTTTGCAGTAACTTACTGGCAGCTATTGGGAGGTAATACGGTAATATGGTATACCGCGGGATCTAAAACTAGTAACGGTGTCAGTTTCAAAACCGTTATACCGTCATAAAAAACAATGCACACATATAGGAGACATTTATATTTATTTAATGCCTACAAAGACATATGCGATTGTCATCCCGGGACAGTGTGGAGGAGAGAGAGAGAGAGAGAGAGGGAGAGTGAGAGGTGGGGTGGCGAGTCGTGCACCAAGTGATCTGCAGTTTGGCAGTATTTCCAAGACAAGGTAAATACGAACTAGAGGTCTGCATTCTGCATGGAGCCAGCCAGATCTCTTGCGGTGCAGGAATAAATTTCAGTATAAAGCACGGGAGCGATTGGTAACTCTGGTATAATTTGAAAGGGAGCAGGCGCACGGTCTAACAATATCGCTCCCGAGCGAGCGAGCACGCACATATCCGCGTGGATGCTGTTTGTGTGTGTGTGTGTGTAAATGGCGTGATTCTGTGTGTTGCATGGTGCTCTCTCTGTGTGTGTGTGTGTGTGTGCATGCGTGCGTGTAAATGAGAGAGAGCGTCCTGCGCAGATCTCTAATACGAACAAGAAAGACAGGTGACAGCGAACCTAAGGTCGCATATACGGTATTCAGTTTCTGAACGGTTTAGGCACAAGCCAACAGTTTGGTGATGCTGTCTGAGCTTTACGTCATAAATTTTTTTTATTATGCACGATAATACCGGATACCGAGGTAAAATAGGGAGGAGGTTTGACGGTATCAAAATTTGGATACCGCCCAAGCCTACTGGCAGCACTGTTGCCCCTTTAGTAACTGACCTATGAATGTGTTTTACAGTAGCAGGGCCCAACCGCATATTCAGTTTACTGTAAAATATTCTAAGCACAACTGTTTTTAATGCTAAAATGCCATTTACAACATATTCATTTTATAGTACTAAAATTTTGACAGTACTTTTACTGTCTTTGTTCAATTTCCTTTTGAATTGAATAACTTCCAAACAAGTGACTATTTTTTCTGTCTTGTTTTTGTAATGTAATGTAATGTAATGTGTATTTATATACCGCATTTATCGTGTATGGCCACACATCCAAAGCGCTTCACAATTATGAGGGGGGTGGGGGGTGAGGGGGTCTCTCCACACCACCACCAGTGTGCAGCATTTACTTGGATGATGCAATGGCAGCCACAGGACAACGGCGCCAGTGCTTCACCACACACCAGCTATTGGTGGAGTGGAGAGACAGCGATAGAGCCAATTCGGTGGAAGGGGATGATTGGGAGGCCATGATCGTAGAGGCCGATAGAGGGAATTTGGCCAGGACACCAGGGTTACACCCCTGCTCTTTCACGAGAAGTGCCATGGGATTTTTAATGACCACAGAGAGTCAGGACCTCGGTTTAACCTCTCATCCGAAAGACGGCGCCCACTGACAGTGTAGTGTCCCCTTCACTTCACTGGGGCATTAGGACTCACACAGACCACAGGTTGAGCGCCCCCTGCTGGCCTCACAAACACCACTTCCAACAGCAACCTAGTGTTACCTAGTGGTCTCCCATCCAGGTACTGACCAGGCTCAGCCCTGCTTAGCTTCAGTGAGTAACCGGTCTTGGGCTGCAGGGTGATATTGCTGTATCCTCCTGTTATTGTTGTTGTCTTAAACTACAGTAGCACCACTTGATTACTTTGATAACAGTAGAATACTGCACATTCCTAATATAAACATAAACGTTTTAAAATGACCCACTATGCAGTGCATATTACAGTAATGAACTCTAAAGAAAATATGTGATACTTTAATAGTAAATTACTGTAAAATCGTGGCAGTCTTAAAGTTTATTCATTTATTCTCTTTTCGGCTAAAGCCTGATTTATACTTTCCGGCGTCAAGTGATCGGCATGACCCACGGTGCATGCAATGCGAGTAGGCGAGCATTTATTCTTCTGTGCGCTGTTTCTGTTGCTCTGCATTAACACTTCTGAAACGCTAGCTGGCAGTAGGTGTTTATGTTCCTCTGTGTCGAGTTTCTTTACTGGTGTTTTGTTTTTTCTGAACGCTTCCTTAATGTACAAGTTGCTCAAACTGGCTCATTTTGAGGCAGGAACCAGCAGACGTGCAACAACTTTAATCATGTGGTAAACACAAACAGTCCCCATCTGGAGCTCTTCACAGGACTCCACACTTGTAAACAATTGCTGCATCGGGCTCGTGGTGCTCTCACTTCCATACTCCCACACTCGTCAGCGCTACCAAGCCGACCAATCACAGAGCTTGCGCTACACGTCGTTGCAACATGTAGTTACATTTTTTGAGAGGTGCACGTCAGCGACGCCAACGGCATCAGCGAGGGCTATGCGTCCACTCATAGGCTGCGCCGTAGCATACACATGCAATTGATGCAGAAGTATAAATTAGCTTTAAGTCCATTTATTAATTTAGGGTCGCCGACTCGCCACAGCAGAATGAACTACCAACTTATCTAGCATACGTATTACGCAGCGGATGCACTTCCAGCTGCAACCCATTACTGGGAAACAACCATACACACTCATTCACACACATACACTATGGACAATTTAGCTTGCCCAATTCATCACCGCATGTGTTTGGACTTGCGGGGGAAACCGGAGCACCCGGAGGAAACCCACGCCAACACAGAAAGAACATGCAAACTCCACACAGAAACTCCAACCGACCCAGCCAAGGCTCGAACCAGCGACCTTCTTGCTGTGCAGCCTATTAATGTTTGTATGTTAAAAAAAAATCTAAATATTAAAATGTTCAAGGATTTAAGATGCTGATGACCGTTAAACGCTTGTGTAAAGGGTCCATTTTGATTTATTTTAACCCTCAGATATCCAAATAGTCACATCTCACCTAAATATTGTCCTTTTCCTAACAAACCATGCATCAATGGAAAGCTTATTCAGCTTTATTTATTCAGCTTTCAGATGACGTATAAATCTCAGATTCCCATGACTGACTCTTATGAATGTGTTTGTGTTGCAGGGTCTACTGTAGATCTATACGCCTCTACAATGGCCAATTAAGTATAGTTGCATCGTCCACAGTTTCGAGGCAATCCGTCTTGCACACACAACATGAACAGCAGATGCGAGGGGAAAATAAAACAAGATTACACAAGGTTATTAAAATCTCTCTGCTACAGTACGCCTGGAGAAACAGAGCAGGAGATACTGTCCGGGGTTGTTGTGGACAGTATTATCAGATCGTTAATTATCTGAAATGGATCATCTGAAAATACTGGTATATGTAACTATAAAACGTGTCACAAACACATGTTAAAATTTTACCCATGTGAGTTATGTAATTAATTGGTTGTTTAATTAAACAACAGCTGATCATTTGTGGAAAATGACCTCATCCTAATTATAATACACCTTATTTAAATTTGACAGATTTTCTTTTCTTCATTAACGTGATTAAAGTAGAAATGTGCAAACAAAGTCAATGGCATAGTTCACCGAGAAGCCACACAAGCATCTGGCATTATCGCAGAAGGATTATTTTGGATTTCATTAATTGGGTGATTAAGCGTTTCCAGCACATTGTAAAAGATCTAAAATGTTGTTTTGCTCATTTCTAAAACCCCTCAGCCATCAGCTCATCATCACAGTCCTTCAGTGTTATTATTCTTCCAATATTATTCACTCCAAAACTGTCTTGAGCATCTGTCTGCGCTCCCAAAGAGCATCTCACACCTCCAAAAGCACCGCGTTCATTGTGTTTCGTCTTCGTCTTCTGAGACGCACAAATCATTTATTAAAGAAAAAAAAAAAACACAGTGACTTCTCCTACTAGACTAAACTACAATGTAAAACCCAAAAAGTTAAGGTAACTCAAACACTAATCCTATTGAGTACTGTGAACTTACTCCATTTGAGTAAATGAAGCAATTTGAGCACAGTAAAAGCCAATAAATGAAGAGAACTCAAATCAACTGAGTACTGTCAAACTCAATGAGTTTAGGCAACACAAACCGTTTGAGGAAACCGATTGCAACAAACCATTTGAGGTAAAAAACTAATCTATATGAGGACTGTGAACTTAATACATTTGAGTTATGAGAAAGTCTTAAGTAATTAAGAAAGTCTTCCCTCTGATTTATATTTGGTGTTCAATAAGAAAGCGCAGCTTTTTACTAATAATGTCTTATTGCTCATCGTCATACATTAAAATAAGAACAGCTGAGCGGGACTCTGCAAAATAAACCTGAAACACTGACTAATGTGAGGAGAGTTTACTCGCAAGTGACTTGTTTTAGCTCTTTTTGTCCTTTTAGAAGCTTTGCCGTGTGAAAGCGAACTGCACCAAGAACAAAAATAAACACTGTAATAATTTCAATCCCTGTTTTGGAACAAGAGAATCGATCCACAGGTGTGAATGCACCCTGAGACTAAGACTTACACTGTAAAAAAAATCTGTAAAATAACAGTTAAATGACTGTATATTTTAACAGATTTTTTCCGTATACACGTATTACGGGTGTTTTTCCGTTTATATACATTTTCGAATTGCATTGTGGGAAGGGGATCGCAGCTCAGACAGCGTTTGATGGACACCGGGACATATTTCTTCCTCTGTTTTTTCCCTGGTAAGTACGATTAATAAAACATATAACAATATTTTAGTTAAAAGACTGCTTTATTACCTTTTTATCGTTATTTAAAATGATTTTGTCTTGTATGAAGTGCCCATGGAAAGTACAGCAGTGAATTACGTTAATTATTGTTAATAAGATCAGACTTTATTTCATTAAGATCAAACTGAGCTATGAGTGGTTAAATGTAATTTAAACAAGCATTTACCTAATGATTTTTTACCTTTTTATGCGTTTTCCTCATCAGTAAATATGGTATCTGTTCATTTACAGTTGTTTGTCCGTATTTTTCTAAACTGCCGTGCGCGGGAAGTGACGTGACGTCCCAATCACCCACTCACTCCCTCTGCACCTGCGTGAGTCTGACTGGATTAACGGTAAACGTCAGCTTGTCTGTGAGAGTGTGAAAGGTATGTTAATTATTTAATAGAAATATAAATGTTTTCTTTGTACAGTGCATTGAACAAGGGATAGCATTCAAAGTTTGTGACACTGTGTAGTTTGGTTGATATACGTTACCTTTAATGAACACTAACGTCAACGTGTTTCAAACGCTCGTAACACCTGACCGTCTGTGTTTGTTTGCATATTAATAACTAATTTCATATTTTACTGACGTTATCAAATGTTAGCTTTAGTTTGACCGACGTATTAAGGCTGTGTGACCGAGTTTCAGTGGAAAAGCTTTGCTGGTTTTTAAGTAACGTTAAGTTATAAGTTAGACTCGCGTGAATTGGAGGCATTTGTAACTCGGTATGAGGGGAAATACACACTCGTTAAGTTATTATTAGTGGTGGGCCGTTATCAGCATTAACGTGCTGCGTTAACGCGAGACTTATCGCGCGATAAAAAATATATATCGCCGTTAATCTATTCTCAACGTTGGGTTGGGAGCTGCAGCTCATGGGTGACTTTCATACTTTGACATTTTAGCGCGGATGTATACCTGACAGGTGAGCCGTCTGACAAACAAGTGCCCTTCTGAATCAAATCAGCAGGATGCCTGACTTTAACTGCAGTTCGGCAGTTTCACTTTAACTCATGAACATTTCATTCATCCCGCGTGACAAACTGGGGTAATAGACGCAAATAAGAAGCAAGAACCGATGAGAATGTTATGGAATTTAATAACGCTCGCCAAATGGAACGAAAAAAAAAACTTCCGCATTTCGCGACGTGTGTTTGTGTGTACAGAGATAACAGAGTGATACAGTAAGTGTGTGACATTTAAAAGTCGGCCTCAAATAGCCTACAACGTGTACCTTAAAGCACACAATTAAATGTTTGTTGTAGTCGAGTTGAACTGTCATTGATATTTATTTATTCACTTTTAAGAACCTCAAGGGCAGCTAATATGAAGATATAAAGATGAGTTGTTCTTCCACAGTCTTAAAATTCTTCAAACTAATTGTCAGTTCGATTCATTATAGCAAATAATACTTTCTTTACTATTAGGAGATCAGGAGTTTTATTTGAATGAAACCTTGATAATAGAGTGAACTACACATGATGTTATCGCAAATAAAATCTTTTTATGTAGATTTTGAGTCAGTTTTTTTTTTGCACATATAAGGTTCACTGATATTTTGCTTTGTTGACTTTCAGGTTCTTTCATTTTGGTTATAAGTACATGTTACAGGTAAATTCTTAGATTCAATCCAAACTGAATTTGAATTAATACAGACAAATAAAATAAAATACACCTGGGATTTTAAATGTTTTAATTTTTTTTATTATTCACAACGTTTGTGAAGTCTAAATGTAGACTGTCTGAATGAGTGTTATTTTTGTTGTAGGTGTGTTGGTGTAAAAATTGATGCTGACTGGTTAGTACTGCATTTTTAACCATAACAATAATGATTTATATTTAGCATTGCATCTATTGTCATTTTACCAAGAATGTGTTTGCTCTTTCAGAACTCAGGCAGTTGTGCTGGACCTTCTGTACTTTATACAGGAGATGACAGTAAACTTTCAAGTTTAAGAGGTAAAATGTTCAGGGTTTTTCTGTTTGATTTTGAGTGTTTTGTAGATATAATGTTCACTGATATATGATATAAGATTTGCTTTATGTTTATGTTGTCATTTTGGTTATAAGTACAAGGTACAGGTACATTTTCACAGCAATCTAAATTAAAATCTTAAATCTTACATTCAATCCAAACTGAATTTAAATGAATATGGACAAATTAAATGAAATACACCTGGGATTTTAAATGTTTTCATTTTTTTGTTATTTACAAAGTTTAAAGTTTAAAAGTAGACTACCTGCTGCATGTTTCAAACTGAATGAGTGTTATTTTTGTTGTAGGTGTGTTGGTGTAAAAAGTGATGCTGACTGGTCAGTACTGCATTTTTTAACCAAAAAAATAAACAATGATTTATATTTAGCATTGCATCTATTGTAACTTTACCAAGAATGTGTTTGCTCTTTCAGAACTCATGCAGTTGTGTTGGACCCTCTGTACCTTATACAGAAGATGACGGTAAACTTTGAAGTTTAAGAGGTAAAATGTTCAGCGTTTTTTCTGTTTGGTTTTAAGTGTTTTGTACATATAAGGTTCACTGATATTTTGCTTTGTTGACTTCCAGGTTCTGTAATTTTGGTTATAAGTACAAGGTACAGGTACATTTTCACAGCAATCTAAATAAAAATATTAAATCTTACGTTCAATCCAAACTAAATTTGAATTGATATAGACAAATGAAATAAAATACAGCTGGGGTTTTAAATGTTTTCATTTTTTCATTATTCACAAAGTATGTAAAGTATAAAAGTAGACTACGTTGCATGTTTCAAACTGAATGAGTGTTATTTTTGTTGTAGGTGTGTTGGTGTAAAAATTGATGCTGACTGGTCAGTACTGCATTTTTATAAATAATACAAAAAATAAAAATAAAAAATGATTTATATTTAGCATTGCATCTATTGTCATTTTACCAAGAATGTGTTTGCTCTTTCAGAACTCGGGCAGTTGTGCTGGACCATCTGTACTTAGTACAAGGGATGACAGTAAACTTTCAAGCTTAAAAGGTAAAATGGTCAGGGTTTTTTTTTTTATATTGATGCTTTTATTTTTATTATTTGGCAAAACCAATTTCTTGTACCTATATTTTTACTAAGTGTTTACATGAACACATTTTGCTTCAGTAATTTAGAATTTTGTTAACATGTATTCAAACTAAAAAGTACTGGGTTGATGTGGGTGTTTTATCTGGGTTTTTTAAGCTGCTACTGTAATCTGTTAAATAAACCAAGCAGTTATTTATTATTATTATTTATTTTTGCATCATTTGAAATGTTACAAGTTCTTTATTTTGGTAATGTCTGCTTAAAGTGATAAGGAAATAACTGGTCCACTGCTGAATCTCTTTTCTTTTCTCTCTTAGCCACCTGATGATGAGAGAGACAATTTCAATGTGGGCATCTTGATGGTGAGCCAGGCCTTCATGCTAATTTTGTGACCGTTTAATCTATTTAGCGTCATTGTAATAACATTATTTCAGGATGCAAAACTGGCTAAAAATCAAATTTAAATTTCAACATTAATTGTATGATAGTGTGGTTGATTTAACATTTTATTTAATGTTGGGTTCATTGTAAAAAAAAAAAAAAGATTTAATTTTGGTTGAATAAATGCTGATTTTGGGACAGTTTTGTCTATTTATCATTATAGAATTACCATTATTTCAGGGTAGAAAACTGCCTAAAAATCAGTGGTGACTTTTTAACGTTGTTTCAATGATAGTTTGATTGATGTTTTAACATTTATTCGATGTTAATTTAACGTAGGTTTGCTCTCTGGGTAAGAACTAACTTAAAAAATGCAAAAAACTTACAGTATGTATGTGCCACTTGACTTTTGTATCACATGTTATTAGCATGTTATGGAATTTAACCATGGCAAATAAGTGAGAGGAGATGGAAAGCTATGATGTCTACACGTTTTCCTGAAACATTTTCAAGGTCAATTCTTTCTTGTATAAAGATAGTGGAAAAGAAAGAAATGTAAAACAAAATGGTTTGTCATTTTTTTAAATTTTGTTTTCTTTCCTTTATTGTTTTTTTTTTGCCTTATTTTTGTTCTTGCACTATAATTATTTCTTGTAATATTTGATTAAGTAAATATATTTTAATTTCTTTTAAATTATGTAGCAGACATGTATTTGAATAATTTTACATAATAATTATAATATTTATAATATTATTTATAATATTAATAATTTAACATATAGGTGTGCATATATGTACCCATATATGTACATGTAATATAGGAAAACAGCCAATTTTATATTTGTCACATATTTCAAAAACCTAAATCAAAACCTATATTAAACCATATGTTTATATAGGTTCTTTCCATGTGGACGTGTACCAGACCCAACACACAACTCACTTTTCTTTTTTTCAGAAGAAGAGTCCACAGTCACAATAACAAGATCATTGGGCTGTCCCCTAATTGTGGTGAGCTACATGTTTAGTCTCTTATGTGCTAAACATTATGTAGCCTAAGGAAGCAGCCCTGACTCTGGAGTTTATATGAAGGTCTGTTTTTACATTTTTAAGTTTATTTCATTTTTATAAGACAAGTAAGGTGATACATGTTTGTTGTATCTACAACAGGAGCATGCTGAGTAACTATCCAGAATGTAGGTCCAAAGCAGAAAAAAGAGCACCAAGCAGAAACATACCATCTAAACTCCTTCGATTCCTGTCAGACCAGAAAGACTTTCAGAATCCTTGGAAGATTTAAAGGTAATTAAGCACACCAGTAATACTTTATAATAACTAAACACTATTGATTAATTTATTAAGCATTAGCAAAAAGTTCTGTTAAGCATTAACTCTACATTAATAGACCTTAGTATACAGTTTATAACTACAGCTGCAAATGCTGTAATCTTGACTTATAAGCACATCTATAATGTGCTTAATGATTTTGTTTTTATATTTTGTTAATGATTAATTTTTCATTACTAAATTTAGTATAGCATTATTTACAAACCAGTGATTTAAGAATAGTTGGTGTATTTTTTTTCTAATCATTCAGAATGTGTAAGTAAATGGTTAATAAACTATTCAAACTAACATTTATATATCTTATTATTCAGGCATATAGTAATAGTTGGGCAGCACAGTAGCTAGCACTGTTGCCTCACAGCAAGTAGAGCTCCGGGTGCTTAGGTTTCCCCCACAGTCCAAAGACATAAGCTATAGGGAAATTGATTAACTAAATTGGCTGTAGTGTATGAGTGTGTTTGTAAATAAGTGTGTATGGGTGTTTTCAAGGGCGTACTCATGCTATGCACAGTTGCCTTGAAACTGGAAGCGTGATTGTCTCCCCGACGACCTGCACTCACATTTCATTCGAGCCTGAGCATGCTTACATCATCAATAATGCACTGTTCAGTTTAACAAGTGCTCTCACTCAGCACAGTGGAGATTTCTTTATATTGTTATATCGTTTTAGTTGTTCAATATGCAGTGACACGCAGTCAAATATTTCGCCGAACAGATCAGCCACTTTTGACGCTCATAAACAATCAAAGTCAACGTGCTGCAGGTACTAGGAGGTTTGCTAAAGGTGCAGCTGTTGTGCAGTGAGGGGTTTGTGTCTTTAATCTATGACAGTTTGCAAGGGACTTTGATTTGGATAAATTAATCACTATTACTGTTCAATGAACGCAAACCCCTTACTGCACCACAGCTGCGCCTTTAGCAAACCTCCTATTCCTGCAGCACAAGGAATTTATGATTGTTTATTAACATCAAAAGTGGCTGATCTGTTCGGCGAAATATTTGACAGCGTGTTACTGCATCCCAAATGACTAAAACAATATAACTAAAGAATTCTCCTCCGTGCTGAGAGCACTTCCTAAACTAAACAGCGCATCATCGATGATGTAAGAGTGCTCAGGCTCGAATGCAATGTGAGTGTGGGACGTCAGGGGAGACGGGAGGGAAGACAAGAGTGCTTCGGCCTGGTTTAAGGCAACTATACATAGTGTGAGTACACACTAAGCTGAAGGAAAATACATGAATGAATTGTAATAGTTATATTTGTAAATAAAATACAAAAAATAAGTATATAAAGTATATACAATATTTATTTTAATAAGTGCTTTTGTTTACTTCATCCAGTTTTGTAGCCTAAAGTGAGGATTGTTTATGCTTTGTAAATCCCCTTATAAATCACAATTAAAGATTCAGTTATATTCTAAAAATGAAATTCATTTTATTGTATTAAATGAAAAATAAATCTTATCTAAAATAAAATTACTGTACAGTTTAACATAGCTAAATAACACTGAAATGTTGCATCGTAATATCATTAAATTATTTTAGTGTTGTTTTATCCAGTTTTATGTTATATTTTGGCACTCCAGCTATTCAGCAAGGTTTCATATTTACAGTAATTACATTTTTTAGATAAGACTGTTTAGATAAGAATGTTCATTTGATACTGAGCCTTTAACTGTCGTTTATAAGGATTTATAAATCATAAATAATCCTCACAGATTAGGCCACAACTGGAAGAAGTTTTGTAAATAATGCAATATTAAATATAATATTTTTTATATATATATATATATATATATATATATATATATATATATATATATATATATATATATATAAATAGTAATGTAAAATCAATCATTAAAGTTTGATAACACAATTATTAAACTGTAGCTGTAGCAAATTTTGCAGCTGTATTTATAACCGACTGCTAACATCTATTAATTTAGAGTCAATGCTTAACAGAAAATGAATTCACTATTTGCTAATGCTTCATAAATGAATCATAGCCTGTAGTTATTATAGTGTTACCAGCATAGTTTGTTTATATTACTGTTTCTCTCTTGCATTATTGTTCCGAATATTGTCAAAAGTACCTACACTTTATTTTGAAAAACCTTAAAGTGATTTTTCACCCAAAACTGAATAATTGATAATTCATAATTTACTCACTCTTGGCATTTTAAACCTGTATGACTTTGTTTCCTCTGCAAAACACAAAATATCATATTTTAAAGAATGTTGCTCCTATTTCTCCTACTTTGTTCTGTGGAAGTATGTCAGCCAGACAGGCTTGAAATTACAAGAGTGAGACAAGAAGATGATGATAAAACTTCCATTTGTGTAAACTATTGACATGCAAGGAATCACCCCAGTTGTAAGTGAAATGTCCTTAGTAATGTTTTTTTTTTTTTTTTTTAACAGCCATTGAAGTATCAGTATTGGAGCGGAAGAAGACCCAGTTGTATCGTCTGTTTCCTGCCATCTTGCAGTTTAACCTGGTTTCTTAATGTAAAGTACTTGTAATTTGCCCACTTGTCCTCAATTATCTTAAAGCTAACATTTAAAACTAATTTGCTATGAGATTATTTGCCAAGACCTCTCACTGTGTGATTCACATGTCAATATGTATTATTGTGTGTATAACTAGCTATTTGGAATTCAAATGATTTGTATTCATTAAAGAATCTGTTTTAATTGCAAAGTTGTTTTTGTACTAATTGTAAGTTCACAGTTAACAAACTATTTACTGCTTCTTTACACATACAGTATAGAATAAATGTTTTTTTTTACTATGGTAAACCATTAATAGTGTATTTCCCATATGTATATGTTTATCCTTACCAACTGCCATTTCTATGCTGCTTGAAGAGCATTAAATTAGTAAAATAATAATTTTTTTACAGTATGTATCCCATTAAAACAAAGAATCTGTTCATTTTTTCACTGTGTATATATACTATTAAAAACCAAAAAAAGTCCTCTTTTTACAGTAGGTATACTATTAAAACACAGAATCTGTCTTTTTTTACAGTAGGTATACTATTAAAACACAGAATCTGTTTGTTTTTTTACAATAGGTATACTATTAAAACACAAAATATTTCCGCTTTTTTACTGTTGGTATACCCTTAAAAACACAGAAAATAACCGTTTTTTTATATAGAAAACCCTTAAATTACTATAAAATGTTTCGTTATTTTACAGTAGTTTAACCGTCAAAAAACGGATATTTTGTAGTTTTTTTTAATGTGGACACACTGTCAATTAACAGAAGTTTTCCGTTTTTAATTTACGGTAAAATATTTGTGTAATGAGCTGCCAGTACATTTTACCGTTTTTTTACGGAATTTTTTTTTAGAGTGTAGCTAAGACTTTTAGCTCAATAAACTACCAATTAGCTGCTTATTATTAGATATTAAGGTATTAGTTGTGTTTAAGATCAAACTTTTTAAGTGCTAGCACAGTTAATCTTAATAAGCTGAGACAACAAGGCATGGGACGATTACCGCGGTTTGCAAATGTCAAGGTTTTTCAACCGCCAACATTTTCTGCTATTTCCTACGATATATGCAAGACATTTTTTGTTTGTTTTTTTAGGACATCAGTATCTCCAGCAGAAAAGATATCCAAATATGCCATTTTAAATTGTAAAGAAATCTGTGTTTTTAAAAACAAATGAAGACAGCAGAAGTCAAAGATTTATTTAGATTATTTAGCCTGACATGTTTACTGCTCAACAATATTACAAATTTTTCCTAAAATAAAATATATTTTGTGAATATATTGTGTTCAAAGAGAAAAAAAGTTTTAGTTTTTACCCAGACATTAAAAAAGAAAATATTTTCACAATATATTCACAAAAACCGTCAAGCTGTTATTTTATCCAAAGTTTTCATACCGTCAGAATCTTATACGAGTCCATGTCTAGAGACAACACACAATATTTAAGGTTTTTTGGGGGAAAACTGAATTGTTTCAAGTTCAATCTACTTAAATTTATAAAAACTAGTAAGTTATTTTAATTCTTCAGGTTCCCCAAACAAATCTTTGAAGTCAAAATTATTCGCCCACCTGTGATTTTATTTATTTATTTATTTTATTTTTTATTTATTTATTTTTTATTTTTCCAATATTTCCCAAATGATGTTTAACAGATTCTGGACATTTTCACAGCATTTCCTATAATATTTTTTCTTCTGGAGAACATATTTTATTTTGGCGAAAATGAAAGCAGTTCAAATTTTTATTTAACTAATTTATGGTCAATATGACTTGCCTAATTACCCTAACTTGTCTAATTAACCTAGTGAAGCCTTTAAATGTCACTTTAAGCTGAATCTTAATAGATAAGAATAATAAGAATAAGAATAAGAATATCCAGTCAAATATGTGCTGTCATCACAGCAAAGATAAAATGAAAAAGTTAATAGAGATGAGTCTTTAAACTATTATAAATAGAGTGTGTTGAACTAAATCTGCCCTCCATTAAACAAAAATCAGGGGGAAATATACAGAAGGGTGAATAATTCTGACTTCAACTGTGTATGACTCAAAGTTTTAGTCTTGTGCTCCACTCATAACCACTGTAAATAATGCTGATTACACAATTGACCAAAACATTCGCGATCATGATTTGTTTGGTCCACAGTTTCTCCAGGTCTACCTTCTCCACACGGCAGATGCATGTGCCACCGGAGATCAGCCGAGTCGGCCATTACAGCCGCCCCGAAGTGGAGGAAAAGCTCCTCATCAAACATTTACGCCGGCGTTTTCTTCCCACACAAAACAGCACATTCCCATTTCAGCTCCCAGCACACGCGCTCATAAACACAGCCGACACGCGCTGTCCTCTCATCAGTTTAATTAATGTTTATCCCCGATCGTCTTCCGGAGCCGCTCCGCATTCATATTTAGAACATGATGGTGAAACACAGAGGAATAATTCATGAGGAGTGTAATTAAAGTGTGATAAAGTTTAGCGGCACTAATGAGGACGAGCCCACCGGGAGGCTTGAAACGTAAAGTCCACGGTAAACACTGCATTGACCAGCAAATCAAGCCATCGGGATTGACGGTATTGATAACAGATGGAACCGATATTGAAGCTAAAGGTGCTGTATGTACGTTTTTGACTCGTCTAAAGGATGAAAATACCATAATATGTTCGCAGATATTTCAAGAGTTCACACTTAGCTGATGATTGACAAATAAAGCTTGTTTGGCGTGCTGTCCCGGAAAAGAGCTCTGAGCTTATAAGATCCTCGAGCCCTGGGCTCCCTCCTGTTGCAAGGCGAGAGGGGAGTTTGAGCTCAGGTAGATCTCAGGATGACTCCCCCTCCTGCTTATTGTAGCTAAGTGTCAGATATGGATGCTATAGGTGTACTCAGAGTTTGGTTACAATATTTTGGATTAATTGTTTAGAGTGCTTGTTTTTGAACTGTGAGAGGAAACTCGGAGAAAACCCGGGGAGAACGAGCAAACTCCGCACAGAAATGTCGCCTGGTTTTGAAAAGAATTAAACCAGGGGCATTCTTGCTGTGAGGCAACAGCGCTAATCACTGGCCACCGTGTTGCCCGTTTGAAAGGAGGGAAGTAGGGCTGGGTGGGGGGTTTCTTTAAGATGAAGATATTGAGATGAGAAAAGTCTGGTTATTTATAGTGGGTTAAGGATCGTCTGATAGGATAATTAGTCATTAGCTAAAGTTGGAACAGATGTGAACAATCATAAGCACGTGATCCTCTCGAAAATTGTTTATAAATAAACTTCATTCAAGAAACATGACAAGTTAACATTCTTGCTCATCTGTAAAACAATGCTGAAGTCAGAAATTCTGCTTTGAACGTGTGTGTTATGTGCCGGAACGGCTGTCTTTGTTTGGTCATTTAACCCGCCCAATGCCACTCTAGCCAATTATATTTCAGCACGCCGGGTTGCCTTGTTGGAAAACCACGAATTCCATTCAGTCATTCAGAAAGGCTCTCAAAGCATGCGCTCATGACCAAAATGTGACCTCCGTTGGACAGTAGCAGAGTCCCAAATGAGACGCAGATTCAGAGTTCCACATGAGGTTATTAATTAGCAAATAATGTAAACATTAGGTGAGCAGGTCACATTGTGACCCCGTGCCCTAACAACATGCATGTTGCACGATCACCTCACAGCAATAAGATTACTGGTTCGAACCTCGGCTGAGTCAGTTGGCATTTCTGTGCGGAGTTTGCATGTTCTCCTCATGTTGGCGTGGGTTTCCTCCGGGTGCTCCGGTTTCCCCCACAGTGCAAACACATGCGCTGTAGGGGAATTGAATAAGCTAAATTGGCCGTATAGTATGTGTGTGAAAGAGTGTGAATGGGTGTTTCTCAGTGTTGGGTTGCAGCTGGTAGGGCACCTGCTGTGTAAAACATATGCTGGATAAGTTGGCGGTTCATTCTGCTGTGGCGACCCCTGATTAATAAAAGGACTGAGCTGAACAGAAAATGAATGAATGAAATACTAAAAACTAAAAACATTTCTTTGTAATATTAGAGTAAAAATAAAGAATGCAACAATTTAAGCCACTTCATTTTATTTTATTTTATACTAAAAACTACATATGTTGCCAAACTAATTACTGATTTTTTTTGCTTGTATTTTTTTTATTTCAGAGCTTATAAAATTATTCATCAATTATTAACTTCATGTATATTTCACAAAAAAGATTCAGTTCAACATAACATTTTACAGTGAAACTCCATTCACTGTGCCAAAAACAAAACAAAAGAGAATGATTGGACAAAAAAAACGTCAATGGCACCCTATAATATTGCTGCTAATTATATATAATAACATATTTGATTCATACTTTTGATTCATAATTATTTGTTCAAAATAGTTGCATTAAAATCTCTATAATTCAGTCATTAATTTTTCTTCAGGGGTCATCACAGCAGAATGAACCGCCAACTATTCCACCATATCTTTTACTCAGTGGATACCCTTACAGCTGCAACCCAGTACTGGGAAACATCCACACACTCATTCACACGCACACTCATACACTACGGCCAATTTAGTTCATCAATTCCCCTATAGGCCACGTGTTTAGACTATGGGGGAAACCGGAGCACGCAGAGGAAACCCACTCCAACCCGGGGAGAACATGCAAACTCCACACAGAAATGATAACTGACCCAGCCGGGAGTACTACAACCTTCTAGCTGAGACGACAGTGCTAACCACTGAGCCACCGTGCTGCCCAGTGTACATATTTTGAAAATATACAGTTTTTAGGTACATTTTAATATATTTTTACCTCAAAGTTAACAGTCTGCACAGCTGCAATTATCCATTTTCTATTAAATGTGTTTACTTTATTCAGTGTGTCATTTTGAGTGATGTTTTATGCACAGAAACCATGTTTGCTGTTAATCTGTAAACAACACGCGCACACACACACACACACACACACACAGGTGAACAGTGTTTGAGGGCGAGCTTCACATCGACTCATTGACGTGTTTGGTCTGAATGCACTGAAGTGAAAGCCTGAGTGTCGGAGGTCTGCCTGCCTGAAAGAGACGCTTTTTAAAAACCACGACAGGAGAGATTGATTTCAGTTCAGCTGTCAGTCAGAATCAGGAACGCAGGGTTGGTCAGTCAGGAGGAGCAAACCGCCTAACAGCTGAAAACATCTCTACTGACTGGGAATGCATGAGGATATTTGTATTTCACCTGCCGAATAAGACAATATAAGGCAAGGCAAAGCAAGATCATTTCTATTGCACATTTCATACACAGTGGCAATTCAAAGTGCTTTACATAAACAGGAATAAAAGAGACAGATAAATAATAAAATAAAATATAAAAGAGTGAAAAAGAAAAGAAAGATACAATGCGATCTGACGCAGCACAGTGCTCATTCAGTGAAGCCACAGCTAAACAGATCAGTTCAGTCTTCATTTGAATGTACTGTACCTAATGTTGGAGCACGTCTGATCATTTCTGAAAGCTGATTCCAGCAGCAGGGGGCGCTGTTAGCAGCTTAAGGCCGATTCAGCCTGCTTTGACTGAACACGTGGAAGTTTGGAAGGGTGTCCAAACTCGGTCCTGGAGGGCCGGTGTTCTGCATAGTTTAGCTCCAACTTCCTTCAACAAACCTGTCTGGAAGTTTCTAGTTTACCTAGTAAGAGCTTGATTAGCAGGTCCAGGTGTGTTTACTTTGAATTGGTGACGTCAGGCGTTGCCGAACTGCATTGTGAATCTGTCGACGCCACTTCAGTGGCGTTGCTCGCTGCAGAAGTTAGGACTTGCTCAAGTTTTCAAGCGCCGACGGAAGCGTGAGCCAATCAGATCGCTGTTTGCAAATGCATCAGCTCAGACTATAACCGATTGCTGACTGATTTCATTGGCTGACGCTGCTATGACGATCGCATCAGCCCCAACTTCAGACACGCCCTCTGTCAAGTGTTGAAGCCTCATGTGAATGGGGCGTTAGGGTTGGAACTAAGATATGAAGGACGCCGGCCCTCCAGAACCGAGTTTGGGAACCCCTATTATAGTTTATATGATCCTAAAGATCTGAGTGATCTGTTTGTATTCAGTGAGCATATATGTATACTGAGCTCCTAGGCCAGTGATTTATAGACCAGTAATAATACTTTAAAATCTATTTCTGAATGTAACTGGGAGCCAGTGTAGAGACCTGAGGACAGGTGTGATGTTCTCTAATTTTCTGGTTCTGGTTAGAATCCTGACCGCAGCGTTCTGGATGAGCTGCAACTGTCTGACTGTCTTTTTGGGAATGGCGTTCAGTAATCCACTCTGCTGCTGATAAAAGCATGAACAAGTTTCTCTAGGTCCTCAATGGAAACAAAGCATCTAAGTTTTGCACTGTTTTTGAGATGATAGTATGCTGATTTACTAACTGCTTTGACATGACTACTGAAACCCAGATCTTATAATATTAAATTATTAATATATATCTATTTTACAGTACTTTAAAAATACTCAAAAATGTATCTGTCAATGTTTTCAAACTCTTATATTTGATTTAGCAATAGCACACAAGTGCCAATTTCACATCTGTCACATCCATAACGGAGAGATGTCACATCCATAGCAAAGCTTTTCTTTTATAAATACAAAAAAATGTCAAATAAAATAAAATCAATCATGTTTGTTCTAGAGCCAATTCTTCTTCTGATTATCATTGTTTCTTTTGGGTTGTACAGTTTAGTTTACAGACTTTTTTTGTGACGTCCATAACGCATGTTTATTTTCCTCATTTAAAATATAAAAAATGTTTACAGATTGATATTTTTCTGCTCCCATACATGTGTGGTGAGTAGTTTTGGATAATATAAACAGATGTTTCTATATAATGTTAACATATACTTTCTATGTGAATTATGTTTTGAGATTTTACTGCAAACGTCACATTCATAACACTGGGATTGCTTATATATATATATATATATATACCTTTAATTGTATTAGAAAATAAGGACAATAAAGTGAAAACCATCCAGTAATGCCAGAAGAAAAGATATTTTACACAATTAAAATGTTCAATTTATGTTAAAAACAAGAAGGCAAACATCTTTTATGGTGAAATTTCATGCAAAATATATTTTTAAGCATGAAAACATGAAGGAAATACAGTTACTAATAAATAATTATGTATGAAACTATTGAAAATTCCTGATTTAGCTAATCATTTCTGTCTACAAATGTATGTTTTAACAAGACAATACATATCTATTACGGTAAACTGTCGTTCAAAAATGTTTATAAGTATGAAAACATGTTGAAAATACAGTAAATAAAATATATCCTAATATATATAAAATCCTATAAAGCTTGAAAAAATTATATGTATATATAGATTTTTTTCATGCTTTATATATAAATATATAACTAAAAACTGAATTATCCTGTTAAAAATGTAAGATTATCCTATAATGATAACACATACTTAAATTCTTATATATTTATACATTCTTAAATTATTTTTTTACGTATATTTAATTATTTTTAATACAGCCATTCTTCTAAATATTTAAGTATCATTGCAGTAAATTCCAGTCAGCATCAGCTACATTTCAAAATTGTTTATAAATGCACAAAATTAAAGAGCATCAGACCAATCAGCATTTGATTGCATTCACAAATCATTTTTCCTCTGATGTGAATCTGAATGTCTCCTCTCTGAAAGCCACACACACAATCAAAAGTGGCCCAGAGCTCATTTACAGACAGCAGCTTCCCTCTCTCTGTCAGAAAACACATCTCTCAGGTGTGAATAATGTTGCACCTTAATAATGAAAGATGACCGTGTTTTACATATAAATACACATCCATTGTGTGCTTTGAACAAAAGCCACTGATTCAGATGGAAAGAGCTCAACTCCTGCTATTATGCAACATATAGAGCTGTCTGATGGCATGCCTCATAAATCCAGCACATATGAACACGCATGTAAATCTACGCATTCATAAATCCACATAACACACCTGACAGAGATCTAGTTCACCCAAAAAATAAAATGTACTCACCCTTAAGTGATTTATGGCTCGAGCACAAAAGAAGATATTTTGAAGAATGTTGGAAACAGTAAACATTGGCTTCAATAGTATTTGCTTTCCTACAATGGAAGTCAATGGTTACCGGTTTTAAACATTCTTCAAAATATCTTCCTTTGTGTCCAACAGAAAGAAATAAAATCATAAATCACTTGAGAGTAAGTACATGTTGAATTAATGTTCATTATTGGTGGTGAAAACCCCCTTTAAAGTCTTAAATAACCACATGATGACTATTTATAAAGCATTTTACAATTCCAAAAAAATATTTACATAATCAAGTGACAAATGCCTGCAATATAACTACAATAAAAACATGTTATCGCATCACACACATCACAAAACAACTTTTGACGACTGACGTTTGTTTATGATTCGTTATAATATCCGCACGTGCTAATTGTTTTGCTAATTATTTTGCAAGCAAAGCGCGGAAACAACAGAAAAACGGATAAATGAGGCACCTCACATAATATAAAGAGCATTTTTATATTATGAAGCATTTGAAAAACTAACATATAAAATAAGCAAAATGAATTTAAATGTGTAGCTTTCATGAAAATAACGCTGATACAGACGGTGTTGTATTTGGAGTGCCGTTAAACGGTCACGCGCATCACTCACCTGCACGACACGGTGATCTCAACTTTAGTGGCGGGAATCACGGCGGCGAGCGGCTCGAAATCCGCCAGACTCGCCATGTTGAGGAAACCGCCGGTTAACGTGGACATGATACCGGAGGAGTGCAGCGGAGCCTCACCGAGATCATCCTTCACTCCGCCGATCTGCGAGTGTGTGTGTGTGAGTGAAGGGAGTCACAGCGCTTCACACGCGACGTCACGGGGGCGCGCGAGATGTGTGAACGTCCCCACAGATACAGTCATGAGTGTTTCTACTGTAAATGACATTTCTGTCTCATAAACGACATTTCTGCTGTCTGCTGTGAATTTAATTCCTGTTTTCTATTGTAAATGTCATTTCTGTTTATTTCTGTATCCAAAATACTGTGAGCTACTGTACTGGAGTGTTGGCCATGTGGAGTTAAAAGGAAATCATTCTCACCTAAACACACAGATTATTTGTCAACTATACAAACAAGTAACCATAGTGTTTTGCTAAATATTTAATACTATAATAATAATACTAAATGTCACTTTAATTAAGCTGTTTATTTATTGAATTTTAATTGACAAGAAGGTCTTTTTATCAACAAGAAAGGTAATGATCCACTTCAAATCTTGACTACTGCACTCAATTTTTTTTTGCCGCTTGTTCCAATTACTCATTTAAAATAAGCTGAAATAACACAACTCTTGAGTTTTTTGGGGGACAACTTAATTGTTTTACGTTTAATCCACAGGCTCGAACTACTGCCACTACTCCACTGCGCCACCCCCATTGCAATTATTTGTTTATTTATTTAATAAGGTGATAATAATAAAAGTTGTTGAAGTCTCAATCAAAATCATTCATAATTGCTACCCAATAAATACCAAACTAGCTTAATGTAATAATAATATTTCCCTTAAATGCTCATTTTGTACTCAATATAATGAAACACTAAAGCATTTATTTTGGGAGTGTACTTACTGTAAAGTGTTTCGGGTTGACTTTTCCAATTTCATAAAAAAATTCTTATTTCCAAACTTCTGTATGTCCCCGAAAATTATATTCTTTGGTTACTCTCTGAGTGTAGATCCTCATTATTGTAAATTTATTATTAATTTTTTGCTTTTTAAGCAAAATTTAACATCCATAAATGTAAATTTTCAAAGAAACACCCTTTCTTTTTTATTTCCAGAAAGGACTTTGAAATTTATGTAAACTTTTTAAAAGACTCTAACAATTACACTGCATGTAAAAGCCTTTCTTGGTGTCATTCATTCATTTTCTTGTCGGCGTAGTCCCTTTATTAATCCGGGGTCGCCACAGCGGAATGAACCGCCAACTTATCCAGCAAGTTTTTAACGCAGCGGATGCCCTTCCAGCCGCAACCCATGCTTTCTTAGTGTAAATCATTTAAACTTGTTTAGTTTGCTGGAGTTTTATTTATGTAACCCTCTTTGTTCTTATTGTATAACATATTGTAATGTTCTTTCTTGCATAATAATAAAAAAAAATGAAAATAAAGTGATAATAATAAGACATTTCTTCAAAAATACCCCATATCTTTACCTGTTGAATGGTCTTTATATGCCTGAATCACTGAGCTGGTGTAAATTAAGCATGAAGTGAGTCACCATAAACATCATATATATATATACACACACACACACACACACACATACATACAGTATATATATACAGTATATATATATATATATATATATATACATACACATACATACAGTATATATATACAGTATATATATATATACACATACATACAGTATATATATACAGTATATATATATATATATATATATATACACACATACATACAGTATATATATATACAGTATATATATATATATACACACATACATACAGTATATATATACAGTATATATATATATATATATATATATATATATATATATATATCTGCTGTATGTGAATATGATCACTGCACACCTCGCTGTCTGATTGCATCAATGCATTTTCTGCCATTTCCCATATATAAAGAGCTCATAAACAGCTCCTGAATGCGGCTGTGGTTATGACGGCACACAAGTGTATTGATTTGTGTTGAGATTGATGAATATAGGTACTGTTTTCCTCACACCTCTACTGTAGCTATAATTAGCGGCTCTCATGTTGAGCTGAAGCCGCCGATACTCTTCGCTGATAAGTAAATATACAGCACGAACATGACTTACTATACACGCGTCTTATACTGTACACTAATTCATTTCCCTTTATTCATCAGCGGTCGCCACAGTGGAATGAACCACCAACTATTCCAGCAAATGTTTTACAAACCGGGACTGCAACCCAGTACTGGGAAACACCCAAACACTCATTCACATTAACACTACGGCCAATTTAATTTATTCAGTTCAAGAGGTTCTGCGAGGTCTGTCTGCAGCTAGCGCTTATTATTCCATTGCTAGCAGTCATACAGATACTAAGCTAGTTGCTATTGGTGTTCTGGCTGTTTGCTAGAGCTCAGTGTGGTTGGTTGCTAAGGTGTTGTGTGGTTGCTAAGGCACTCAAGCTATTAAGAATTAAGTATGGCTGCTAGTATTGTTATATTGTTAGTTGCTAGTATTCATTTATTAATTTTCTTTTCTGCTTAGTCCCTTTATTAATCTGGGGTCGCCACAGCGGAATGAACCACCAACTTATATGGCATATGTTTTGTGCAGCGAATGCCCTTCCAGCTGCAATCCATCACTGTGAAAATTGCTAGTATTGCGTTAGCTAATAAAAATTAAGTATGGCTGCTAGAATTGCGTTAGCTAATAAGAAATAAGTATGGCTGCTAGTATTGTTAGTTGCTAGTATTGTGTTAGCTAATAAGAACAAAGTATGACTGCTAGCATTGCTAGTAGCTAGTATTGTGTTAGCTGATAAGAATTAAGTATGGCTGCTAGTATTGTTAGTTGCTAGTATTGTGTTAGCTAATAAGAACAAAGTATGGCTGCTAGCATTGCTAGTAGCTAGTATTGCGTTAGCTGATAAGAATTAAGTATGGCTGCTAGTATTGTTAGTTGCTAGTATTGTGTTAGCTAAAGTATGGCTGCTAGTATTGTTAGTTGCTAGTATTGCGTTAGCTAATAAGAATTAAGTATGGCTGCTAGTATTGATAGTATTATGTTAGCTAATAACAATAAAGTATGACTGCTAGCATTGCTAGTTGCTAGTATTGCGCTAGCTAATAAGAATCAAGTACGGCTGCTAGTATTGCTAGTATTGTGTTAGCTAATAAGAATAAAGTATGGCTGCTAGCACTGCTAGTTGCTAGTATTGCGTTAGCTAATAAGAATAATGTATGGCTGCTAGCATTGCTAGTTGCTAGTATTGCGCTAGCTAATAAGAATTAAGTATGGCTGCTAGTATTGCTAGTATTGTGTTAGCTAATAAGAATAAAGTATGGCTGCTAGCATTGCTAGTTGTTAGTATTGCGTTAGCTAATAAGAATAATGTATGGCTGCTAGCATTGCTAGTTGCTAGTATTGCGCTAGCTAATAAGAATTAAGTACGGCTGCTAGAATTGTGTTAGCTAATAAGAATAAAGTATGGCTGCTAGCATTGCTAGTTGCCAGGGCCGGCGCATCCATAGAGGCGACCTAGGCGGCCGCCTAGGGCGGCAGTATAGAGGGGGCGGCGTCTACGACCTCTCCCTTACCACCTGCGTCCTCAGTTATGTCCGCAACACCTCCCCAGCGTCCTCAGATATATTCGCGCACAGACGATTGAATAGAGAGGGCGGCGTCAGCGTCACCTCCAACAGCACCCGCGTGTCCTCAGTTATATCCGCGCATAGGGCGGCAGAATAAAGAGCGCAGTGTCCGCGACACCTCCCTCCCTCAGCACCCGTGCGTCCTCAGTTATATCCGCGCATAGAGCGCCGGAAAAGAGGTCCACGACACCTCACTTCATTTTAATAACCGGTCACTTTCGTTTTCACATTGGGGTTGAGGGCGGCGTGATCGTCCTCTGCCTAGAGCAGCAGTTCAGCTTGCTCCGACCCTGCTAGTTGCTAGTATTGCGTTAGCTAATAAGAATTAAGTATGGCTGCTAGTATTGTGTTAGCTAATAAGAATAAAGTATGGCTGCTAGCATTGCTAGTTGCTAGTATTGCGTTAGCTAATAAGAATTAAGAATGGCTGCTAATTGTTACTTGCTAGTATTGCGTTAGCTAAAAAGAATTAATTATGGCTGCTATTGTTGCTGGTATTGCGTTAGCTAATCAAGTATGGCTGCTATTGTTGCTAGTATTGCATTAGCTAATAAAAAATAAGAATGGCTGCTAGTATTGCTAGTATTTGGTTGCTATGCAGTTGCTAGTATGTATTATTGTGTTGATAGAATATCTCAGATAGTTTGGTGTTTTACTAGAGCTCTGCGTGGTTGGTTGCTAAGGTGTTATGTGGTTGCTAAGGTACTCTGTTTGTTGCTTTGGGTGCTGTTTTAGGTATTGCTATGGAGTTACCAGTGAGTGATATACTGTTATATGCTCATACTGATTTACTGTTTTATGGAATCGATGTACCCTCTGCATCAGAAGAGGCTTCTATAAAAATAAATATTGAGAACTCGTAACAACAATAAAGTTTTTACAGTAGCGTATCCTTTAAACTATGAAGCCTGTACTGGAAATGAAAATTTAAACACATACCTAGGCAGTCTCTTCAATAATACAGTAGGAGATGAACAAACTTTTGTGTAATCCTAATAAAATATATAATAAATTCTGTTTTGCAGAGGAGCACGTCAGGCTGCGCGGTCCTGCTGACACGCTGTGGCATTTCATGTCAACTCCTTTATGCTTTACACATTAATAATTAACACGTTCCATTGAGAAATGACAATGAGATGTCTGCTTGTGTCCGCGTTTTGACATCCGCGGCCGCACATAAAGAAAGTTTCCCTTTTAAAAGAGAATATTTGTCAGAGTCAGCTAGAGATGATAAATATTTCACGGTGGTTTCTGTGCTTGTATTAAGTGCCTCGTGTCACAGAGCAGGAAGCCGCGGCGATTATGATGCAGTTATTTGTGTCGGCATCGAGAGTCCAGGTGTGAGACTTCATCAAATTCAGCGAAGTGAAGGACAGACTGATGGATCACACACATTAAAACTTCCAGATGACAAAAGAACTTGTCAAACTACAGAATGGAAAACTCACCGAGCCACGCTTTACCTCACCTAATACCTGCAAAACACACACCTGAAGCAGATACAGTGATTGTTAGAGAAATGAGCATGAATTACAGTCAGCTGTGATGATGATGATGATGATGCGGAGCTTACAGTCATTGTGGTGCTGCGCTCTTGTGGCCTGTGTTAGTGGTGCTTTATTTAAAGAGACAGTAATATATATATATATATATATATATATATATATATATATATATATATATATATATATATATATATATATATATATATATATATAAA